GAACCCCTTTGATTAAGGACCTTCTTTCAAATAAGCACCCCCACCCCCACCCCCACCCCCGGTTCCTTTTAGCTGAAATTTCACTTAAGCGCCCGGAATTGAGGAAATGCGGTATAGCATCATCCCTAACGAGGAATAGAAGTACTCGTCGAAATATTGGCCTATTTAGAGTGCTTCCTGTCGTTGTGCCAGTATTGCAATTAATTCGTTTATCTATATGTAAGGTTTAATTATAGTTAAGGTTGGAAAGAAGCGTGCACTTGTTGGCTTTTTTTTTTTAAGAAAAGGGAGAGTATAAGTAAAATAAATAACACAAAATTCCGTATATGCGTTTTATTCATCACAACTAAACTACACACTTTGATAATATAAAAGAAAATTGAGCCTGATTGAAAATCGATATCTTTCTACTAGTTGTCATGGTAACAATGTAACATATTTACTCCAGGAGTTACTCCTTTCCCTCTGCTAATTCGAAGCACTTCTTAATACGAAGGAAGCAGCACAATTCACCAGCACAAGTAGGAGAACCTTTTCTGCATATGTGAAGCAAAAATAAGCAGCCTTTCTGCAGGGGAAACAAACGCAAATATGCTTAGTTAATACAGACAAATCATAGTATTCAAAGGGAAAAGAGTTCATGATCATAACTAAGTATTAATTGGACAGTGCTTAAATAGCAGGTCAGGTCTGAAATATTTTACTATCGATGCCACATTTGTTTTCCTAGCTCTGGTAAGATCATTGGAATAATCTTTAATAGAAAGTACGTTGCAACTGCTAACGTGAATAAAGGAAAGCGAGGGCAGATAAAAACAAAATGAAGCAGGAAAAGTTATTGCAATGTAACTGGCGAAGGAAAAGGGGAAAAGGAAAATCCTCCCTATGTATGTATATGTATATACATATTTCTGCAATGGTAAATTGGTGTGCCGTTGGAATCATCATCCTTTAAAGTAAACTGCTTCTGTGTGTATGATGTTTTACTTAAGATTTTTTAAAGGTAAATCGCAGATGTGTATTTTGCGTCAAAAATTTAAAATTTGCAGAATTGCAAGCCAAGCTTACGCCTTGAATGACAGTTACTAAAAATGCATCACAAAAAAGTTGCGTGGCCCAGTTGGAAGGTTTCAAAGAGTTTATCTGCTTTCACCCTTTTACTCCTAAGATCTGATTGTTAATTCTCCCTTCTAGCTGCTACACATTTCCTTGTAAATTAGTATTGAGAATTTGGTGTTGGATCAAGATAAGAACTTTTCCTTGATGAGTTTGAATATTCTTATCACCTAATTGCTGGATAATATATAGATATCATGGGTAGAAGTTACATATTAATCAGACCTGGGTGTTGCACAAATTAAAGAAATAAAAGAGAAAATCATAGCTGTGACGTTGGTATAATACTGAGCTGCTTTACCTCTAGTGGGGAAAGCTCTGGCAGCGGAGTGGGATGGTTTTCTTTTATACACTTAAAAAAGTTGTCGATGCATCCGAGCTTTTTACATTCGTCATGACCCGCAACCTTCCAGCAGACTTGTGCCTTACCCACGCATGCTATCTGTAATTAGCAACAACAAAATGATCTTTAGACGAGTATTTGACGACCATTTTCCAAAGGAAGGCGATTGTGTTTTGTCGATTATTTCTCAGGGTGAAGATGAGAAAATAATTCTTCAAAGCCAATAAATGTATCGCTCAAGCCATGATGATTTAAGAAAAAAGAGGTTATATAAATAAAACACCCAATCTAATTGCCAACTTGGCAGAATTAAAAATTGTGATATACACACAAGCACAATAACTGACTTTTCACGAAATTTTGGTAATCTGAGAACAAATACAAAAAAGTAAGCCGTAAGGGGTATTGCTTCAACTTACAAGAAATGTTGGGAATCCCTCTGGTTTGACGGGTTTGGCAGGTGCTGTAGCGTTGGTGGCATTGATATCATTCAACGCCAAAGTGTCTTCTGGTAATCCAAAGTCTCTCACAACCTGTGCCATTCTTTCATCATGTCGCTCATCTAGGAATTTGAACACAGCCTTGTGAAAGGGCATCTCAAAGGCCGACACATATGCGACAAAGGCGCCGAGAAGCAAGAGAGTTGCAAAAATCTTCATTTTGGCTCCAAGATGTGTGCACTTGACACTGTATCATTGGTAAAACGAACGTGCCTTATATAGAGTCCCACACACCTCACGAACTTTGAAGGTTTTCAGAAACAAAAGCTAATGCCATATTAATCATCGGCTTACACAGCTTTGTTTATCCTATGATAACCTCGTTAAGCACACTTTTAACTTCATTAGGTGTGTTTCGATGGAAAAGATCCCGCTGAACAATGGCACTTCTTTAGATGTTTGAAGGCCGGGAAAAGTCAGTATCACTCTTATCAATAAAGATCACTTTTTTTTTAACTTAAAAGGCCCTTAATGACACCCACTGTTATGAAATGCATTTTGAAAGTTGAAAAATGGCCTCCTTTCCTTTCCTGCAAAGTTCAGTTGGCTTTAATAAAAGAAAACGTCAAAACTTCTTTGACGACGACGGTGAGAAAATCTTGGTGAAGTTGAGTGTGTTTGTTTCAGTCACAGCTGAAATGCAGGAGTTTCTGTAAAAGCTGGTCTAGGGCAGTCTATTGTCGACGGTAGGACCCCTTAACGCCGTCTACTTAGCCTGCAAGTAGGCAGTCTCGTGTTTGGGTTTCGCCCAACGGCCCCTATTCGGAGTACAGCTGCCTATCACACCAACCACAGCCGCTTATAATAAGAAAAAAAGATATTAAAACCCCTGAAAGACATCTTGATGAACTAAAGCAGATTTTTAAATGCATCCTGAGAGGCACTTAGTTATCTTTAGGAAGCTCAAAATGAAACGTAGATCGAGACGACCACAGTTTTTGATTCGTTCTTTAAAACTTGGTATCAGAAAATACCGACTTCAGTAGCCCTCAACAATTTGCGAGTATTTCTTTTACATACAAGATTTTCATAAAAACTCATAATCTTTACAGCGGCGGGTGTCCAACTTATAGCAAAAAACACAAAATACAAAAAAAAGAAGCTGAGAGATATGTCAAAACAAGTATATTTTAGATACTTCAAATTGAGTGGTAATACGCAATCTTTTGGTTGCAGATATTAGGTTTCGGACAAGTAGCACCAAAAGAAAACCCCGCAGGTCCGAGGGCGCACTGGACCACCAGATCCGCCACTTCTTTTGGAAACATTCCTTAATTTCAGCTTTATGTGCCTTTAACTCGGTCAGAGTACCTTCATGATCTGACGATGCCGTAGATCGGCGAAAGCTTGGAGTAAAAAAGAATAGAAGAGCTCAAAGCCTCGATGAAATCGTCCATTTAATTAACATACTACCGAAGAACAACTTCAAACGTTTGTTCATCTTTCTGCAGCGTCTTTTTGGAAAGTATAAATTATAGGTTCAGAGCTGCCTGAAACTAGCGATAAATTATGGTGGCTTTGAACTTACACCACAGCTTTTTTTTTAAACTTTGCTGAAAGATAAACCTTGACATCTCAATTATATCTTACCGCAGTTTTGGAGGTCTCAGGTGAAGCTCGGCAATTTAGAAACGTGTAAGAGTTTTTTTGTTGCTGATTATGTCTTAATTACCACCTGTGGTACAACAAAAGAGTACAATGAAACACGTGGAAACCATGGCAAGGAAATCTTGGTAAAGATAGTTGCTTGTATTATTGTTGTGTTTAACAAAGCAAACTGCTCCTAACGAGGCGGCTGAGTTTTCGAAATGTTCCTCTGATGACATCTTTTCACCTCTGTAATCTGTGGCGTAGTGTAAAGAGAAAAGCTACTCAGTAAAATTGCTTGAAAAATTTTAGCAAATCAGGTTTCAATTTTGTTTGAAGTTTTGATATTTTTCTCGATAAAAATCATGCTGTTAGGTAGGTAAAAATTTTCACTACGGTATCTTCCTTCAAATAATTTTTGTCTATTGTCCAGAAATAATGTTATGTAAACACGAAACTAAGAAAATGAAATTTGACCAGCGTGAAACAAAGAAAAGAATTGAGATCTACTAAGACTAATACAAACTTCATTAATTGTTTTGTTAGTCAACTGCAAATTGTAAGCCAACATCAAACAAAAGAGCATATTAGTGAACAGCAAAGGATACCGAGATTAATTAAAGATCTCCTGATAATCTGGCCTGGCATCAGGCAGCTTTGTACGTTTCCGTCTTAAAGTAGGATTTAATATACCCATACATCTGCCAAACTGACCTTATATCAAGCGTTTTATTTCTATCTTAGGGAAACAATTATAGTGTACTGTAACAGCTATAGTGTACTGTAACAGTTATA